AACAAGTGCATCGCTACTAGTAACAAGTGCCTTACTAGTAGTAACAATGTTTTCTATTAGAAACAATAATAAGCACTTCTCCGTGGGCGCCAGGAGAGCTTCATTGAGCTTCCTCCGCCCATCGACGCCATCGAGCGCTTGGTCTCGCGCGGCCCACGGGTCGCCATCCACCTGCCACTGGGTCCGGTGAAGTACGACGCATACACCGCGGTTTTGGTTTGAGACGACACGGAGATGAAAGAGGACCTGTTAGTGTTTTGTATTTCCAAAGGTGGGTCAGGCGGGTGAGCTACATGTAGCAACTGAGGTCCATTTTGGGAGGTGACTCATTAACTTGGGTGCCCAATGCGCTTGTGAGGTTGGAGGCCATTGTTATTAGGTTGGAGGCCATCGCTTCATGTTGCCAGGGATTCGGAGACAGTAACAGTACCCAGGGAGAAGGCACCTCACAAAATCATGTGGTACTGTTACTGTCTCCGAATCTCCTAGATTGCCTTTCGAGCTTTTGTACAAGTTCCATGCACTGTTATTTTTGGATCTCGGACTTGAGCATCTTGTGTTCTCAGTTTTCAGGCATGTAGAAGAGGTGGTCGGGGTCCAAAGATTGAAGCCTCCCCCCCCCGCATGGGTCGGGGAGATTTTGAGGGTCGGGAAGCAATTTCTTCTTGACAGTCATGGACTGCTTTTTCGATGTTCGCGGATTCGGCAACAGTTTTCCTCGTCTCCAAGGTTGAGGAACCGGGACCTTGAGGAGGCCAATGATGCCGACATCCACAGGCGCACGGGCGCTCTAGAAGTCCAAAGACATTTTTTGGGCACCACCGAAGTAAAGGACATTCCTTGTCGGGTTACCTAAAAAAGCAATTTTAAAAAGACTAATCTTGGATTTCCAAGGGGTGTTGAACATTTCGAGCGGGGCTCAAAAGACTCAAAAAACGATCCAAGATCCGAAAAAAAAAGCCGGTTGCATCGTGTCGCGTCGTGCCGGTCTTTCTCCCACTCCACGGTCAGCTTGGATCCAGGCGCAACGGCCGGACCATCCAGGAGGTGGGCTCGGCCGCCATCCTGGACGCCATCCGCCGCTGTGCGTGAGAAAAAAGAGGGGGAGGTCTTCATGGGACGACTGGGCAGATGCTGGGGGTGAAGTGGCCAGGGATGGTTTGGAGAAGGATAATGGGCAGGCCCTGAGAGGCTTATGTGTCTCAAGTGCTGTTTGGCACCGTTGACCTCCGAAACCTATGGCATCACTTGGGCCATGTCTTTCTGCAGCTGAAGAGGACCTTCGAAGTTTCTTCATGCCCTTGGCTGCCAACTGGACCGTTTTGGAGCCCGGAGGCCCGAGCCGGGTCCAGCGAACGGTCGTAGGAGCCGGGTCTCACCAGGTACCGGTGAATTGACCGGATGTGATGAGACAACATCAAACCGCCAAGGACAACCCAACCATATCCAACCATTGCTGTTTTGCTCCTAGTAGTATGGCCAGGAGCCCCTAGTAGTGTCCTGCTTGCTTGTTCATTTGTTTCCCCCCTTTGATCATATGAGATCATGGATTTCAATCTAATCCGTTAAAGAAACACCAACAGAAAGGGCCCGACACCTGAGGCTGGGAAGCTACCGTGGCTACACTACCCGGGTAACTGCCCTAGCACTCGCACCTGAAAGCTTTCCGGGCGAGACGACTTCCAAGGCGGCCAGGCGAGACGGACAGAGTCTCATCACCCCGGGATCATCGAATGGATCTTGCTCCGTTCGTAGCTTCTTGCTACTAGTAGCGATGGCCTCCAACCTACTAGCTTCTTAAAAAAACAGGATGTTCGAACAGTGGGTCCACGACGCAAGAAGCGTCAGGCCTTAGCGGAGACCTTCGCCTCAGTGATTGCGGTGGATGCATCAGAGGTGGGGCTGCTTCGGCCGTCCAAAGAAAACAAAGAATTGGAGCTGAGCATGTCAGACATGGGGCAGCTGATGTTGACTTTTTAAACATCACCCTGAAGTTGGAGAGGCTCATGCCATAGATCATGCACCACATCGGGCTGTTGGGCGTTGGCCAGGCCTTCTTGAACTCCAACCGTCGCTACAACGCAGACCGCAACGACTCCCAGCTTCGCAATGGCACTGCCAATGTTCGAAGTCGCTATCTCACCCTGTTATGCTAGGCATTCTTGGTGTTGGTTCGAGAGAAATATGTGGGTTTTGGTTTAGGTTGCACCTCATCCTGCTCAAGGTTCCTGCAAAAATGCTTCCCAGGAAGTAATTCCGAACAGCAAAGAACTGCAGAATGAGGGGAGGTGCTGAACCTTTCAATAGAAAGGAGAACCATGGTTCACCGAGCTTGGAATTCACCGAGTCCAATCAAGAGAGGCCGAAACATCTTCTTCGTCCACCTCCACAGCCGTGTGGAGGGCCTGAGGAGCTTGCGCCGCTGGGCAGAGCCGTTGTGTGGATCACACATGATCACTCATGAAGGGATTGAAGGACTTTCTTGCGTGCCCTTTTCTTTTTTTCTGACGACGATGTCCCTGTTCTGTGCGTCAGGTCAGAATGAGGCACCTGAACCGCTGATGGTGGGAAGGATCGCTGGAACTTGCAGCTCTTGCCGGGGCTTTGTTAGGATGTGCAACGAAAGGAGAACCACAAGTCACGTTTTGCAAGCCGGTGACTATTATCGAGTTGTAACGTTGCAGGCCCACCAAGGCCCTGAGTTGCCAACCTTTTTCATGAGATATCACGAGGTGCAGGTCGCAATGGTGGATGCCGAGCATGAGTATGCCTCAGCTGCTTGGCTAGGACTAGGACGATGTGATTCAGGATGTTGACTCAACAGCCCGATGAGGATGGGGACAATGACTCACTTGCCCCAGGTTGGTAGTGCAGCACTATGTTACATGCCTATTTTTGGAAGAGACATGAAGAGGCTTACTTTGCAACTCTTTTACATTTGTTTGCGAGAGTGGACGCCACGATCCACCCAAGGTCTACCGCGACACGAACCAGCTACTTCGGTACTTCAGGCTCTTTCAGACGTGTCTGCTTCAGGGGCTTTGAATCTAGGCTGGAGAAGTTCTGTGAGGTGAACCTCCGACACCTTTCACTGATCAGGTTGCTTCACCGCTTTGCCGGGTGATGCTCATAGCCAGAGCGGAAATCAGCGGACACCTTCGTTTGCCCGAAACTCACATAGCCAGAGCTCCAGTGACCAAGTCACATTCGCAGGCCTTCGCTAAAGTACCTGATCTTCGATGACTTTGGCACCGACCCAGGTGTCATGCGTGTCTGGGCACTTGGTCATGGGCTTTCTTGCCCGCACTTCCTAGAAGGTTTCCAACTTAAAGCAATGCCATACAATACCTGGTTTTGCTTAGTAGGTTGTTTGATTTGTTTATGGGACATGCAGCAAACCTTCTTTTTCTGAAGTGTTTCTTTATTTTTCGGGTTCCTTAAAAGCACATCCAGTAATACTTGGCTCATCCTTCTTCTTGTGCTGGGAACCATTTGGCACGGCATCTCATGGAATCCTCTCAGGCTGTGCGGGAGTTCGTCCAGAGCGGCCGCTTGCGGGTGCTGGGTGGGGTGAAGACCTCAACCACTTCGGGCGCCGCCGCGAAGACGGCGCGACCGCGACCGCGGCCACCATGGTTTGAGAGGTGTTTCTGGTCCGTGTGGTGTGAAGTCTTCTGCTCTTCACTCGGGCCATGAGGATCCCATGCAGTTCGTTGATCCGCACCGCGTGGACGGCTAGACTCTAGACGAGCGCCAAAGAGATGCGCGTGCACTTTGAAGCTGAGAAATTGTCCAAGGCAGAGCTATTGAACAGAATTTGTTGGTCAGTGTTGGTCATATGTTTCATTAAATGAGGAAGGCCGGGAAAGGATGTTGGGTACACACCATCAACCTTGACAAGGCTCAACATGACATGAGTAGCCGCGTAGCCTTGCAACCAAAATAAATCGCCAAAGACACCATTTCTGGAACACTGACGGGCACTGACAACTGATATTAACTATAGCTGATATTAACTTACTTCACTGCCTGGCCATTCCTCGGCTCTCGCCCGCGCCATGCTGCGCTTGCTCCGCACGGCGCTCCCGCGCGTGGCCGCTCCGCGCGGTGCCGTGCCGCTCGTCGTCGGCGCGGTGCGCCACGCAGCGACGGAGCCGAAGGTCTATCGCCAGCGGCTGCTGGATGGGAATGAAGAGATCTTGACCGAGGTCCGAGGTGTTTCATGTTTTAACTGGAAGGTGCAGTCACCAGCAGGTATGGCATCACAGAAAGCTGTGTTCTTGGCAAGTGATTTCCTGAAGTAATTAGTAGCTTTGGATTGTATATTGGATCCCTGTAGCAGAATTCATGCGTAAAAATGGATGGCCTCTCAAGGTTTCTCAAGATAGATGAAGAACGTAGAAGAACCACGAAGAACCGCGAAGAAGAACCCACTCCTATTGCTGACCCTGATTTGATTGCGATTCAAACTCCAAAGGGGGTCACACTGTTGGGAGTACTGTTGGGCTGATTGTGGTCCTTGTGGTGTCACCTGCTGTCACCATTGCGTCTTCAGTCCCTCACAGGAAGAAAAACAGGAGAAGGATTCGATCATTAAGGAGCTCACTCGAAAGCTAAGTGGCCCTTTGGCGGATGAAGATGGCAACGTCCCCACCGGAGAGGACCGGCCCATTGCCATCGAGGTGGATGGCCCAAGTCACTTCTACGCGAACTCTCAGCAATACACTGCCTATACGAAGCTGAAGCATCGGCTGTTAACGCGGATGGGCTACAAAGTTCTACATGTCCCCTACTTCGAATGGAGACAGTTGAGATCTGCCAGGGATCGCGAAGACTACATGCGAGCCAAGCTGAAGGAAGAGCCCTCAGAGTGGCTCGACCCGGAAGACGAGAAGTACTACATTTATGGACCAGATGAGGGGGCAGCCATGATGAGTTTAAGAACCTGTTTCTTTCGTTTCTTTATGTTTCTTCATGTTTCTTCTAGTTTCTTGTCCAGGTCGGTAGGGCTTTTCGAAGCGGTTGGCAAAACTTACCTCAGAGTTTGAGTGGGAAAAGATTTGCACATGATGCAGGGGGCGCAGGGCATCCCAAAATGTATCAAACAACAAACATGTGCGCACGAAATGATTGGACTATTGATTTTGTTTCTTTGTGATTCGATCGGGAGATACAACAGCTGGAGTGTTACCTCTCCAAATGGGGACCTAACCAAGCTGAGCTTGCACAGGTTCCCACCATGGTTCCTTATTGTAAGGGTCCTTTCCTTTCTCCGCTGCAAGCACCTCAGGAGGAGGAGGAGATCTCGGTGAAGCCAGATTGGCCCGAAGCTCCGCCCGAAGCTCCGGCACGACCACCGAGCTCAGTGGCACCTGGGCACAACCAGAACCCATGGAGTCGTAGGAAGTGCTGTTAGGTTCGAGGCCATCGCTAGTAGGTTGGAGGCCATTGCTAGCCACTGCTATTAGGTTGCAGGCCATCGCTATATATATATATATCGGTTTCTGTTGGAGATCCAGGTGTGGATGTGACGTGGCGTTGGTGAACTATTCGTGGTGCTGGCAGTAGCGCTGCCCTCACACAAAAGGAACTTGTTCTACGGCAAGTAATGCAGCACCGTTAAGGTATAAAGTTTCTGGCAGACCTGGAGAGTTGTTCTGGGTTTTGCAGATTTGTAGCGGCTTGGCGTCCAGCAAAGGAGGTGCACGGTTTTGGGGTACCAATGATAAGTCCAATGATACTGTAATCATAGTGAGCTACCATAGAAATCGACCGAGTACTTTCCAAGTCTCCAACTCTTCCATCTTCGCAGGTAAGTTCCAGCTCCTCCAGCTCTAGCATTGAAACCCCACCGCCACCCACGAAGCCGCCGTCGCCGCCCCAGCGAAGCCCGCGGTCGGGACCATCGCCGCCGCCCGTGCCGCCGCCGCCGAATGTGCCGCCGCCCGACTTCCCGGACCACCCGAAAATGCCCAAAGGAACTTAGCCGAGGAGAGCAATGGGTTTAAAGGAGAAATTGCAGCTATTAGGTTTTAGAACCCATCGCTACTAGAAACAAAGAGTAGAAGAAAAGGATAGTGTAAATTGTAGTCTATGGTGGTCAGGGGGACCAATAGTCTCACATGTCACTCACACAGCTGTTGGTCCCAATGCTGGGACGTGTGCTGATTTTGGCCTGTGCGCTGGCATTTGCAGGGCAGACACGAGAGCACCAGCACACATGCAACTCAGAAAGTGTCATGTTAAAGCCCTTGTGTTGGCAACCTCATCAGCCAGGAGCCTGCGGCAGATGTCATCTTTCACAAGAGCTTGTCTATGAGTTCGAAAAGTGCGCGATCAGCAGAAACCTGCCAGCTGCGCTAAAAATCGAAGGACAAAGCTAATACAAATCCCTCCAGTTTTCATGGTGTTGGTGCACAATTTGACCCTACCCTAGCGGCTCCTAGCCTCTCCCAGCACTTGGCTCAGGTGGGTCGAAAACCACCTTGGACCTACCGCGACCAAGCGGGGAAACCCGGACGCGGTCGATGGACCAAATTCCGGTATTCAACGCACGTGAAGCATTATAAAAGCAGACAATAGCACAAGCAAAACCCACGCTTGGACTGAAGCTTGGATGTGAAGATCTTCAAACAGCCCATGTGGGAACGCAAGTCAGCTCAGGTCATTGACAGTCAGCCACTCAGATTCTGTGGAGTGGTGGTGATGGAGGCACCGACTTGTCACTTGCACCGGAAGTGGTTGGCCCAGGTTGGGAAGGTGTGATTTGCGAGGTGATGCTGGGCGCCCAGCGAAGTGAATGATTTGTTTGTGCCTGTGTGTGATATTTGGAACTGTCAACGAAATCTGGAGCTGGGGCAGGACATTGGGATGATGTAGACGTAGTGCTTGCAGTGTGGTGCAAGTAGTTTATTTCCTGGTATATGATTGATTCCATGCTGAAGCAGACTTGGATGGACTCCGTCAACACTTCTAGCACGAGCGCTTCATAGACCTCTAATTGGATTGTGCGATGCCTCTGTGAACAGAAAGGCGCAGCAGGCGGTTGAACCGAGACCGAGTGACACCGAGTGACACCTGCGGGGCCAAAGCACCAGAGTGACCTGAGGTCCAACCAAAGCGACGTCCCCATGCAACGGATTTTGGGCAAGTGGTGCCCACTCGAGCATCGGAGAGGAAACTAGTTGAACTTCACGCAGCTTGTCTTTGAAATTGTGAACTACTACATGCAACTACTAAGTAGACCTTGGAATTGTATTTATATATTATTGTGTAGAATTATGCTATATACAATTGTTCTGGTACATCCCACTGTGCCCCAAAAGTGATGACATCGCGACCCCTAGCGTGGCAATGAACAGATAGCTACTCTAGCTGACAGGGTGCTAGTTGAACAGCTGTCTTCAGGTACACCTGGTTCATGTCCAATCTTTGGGAGAGGCATGGCAGCTGCAAGGGTTACACTGCTTTACAAGGGTGAACACGCTAAGCCTCGTTTTGCCACTGGCTCACATCGTGGCCTCGGGCTCACAGGCCTTTGGTAGATGAAATTGAGCACTTAAGGCGGAGTGAGTGGGCCTTGTGATGGTATTGATTTTCCTGGCAAGGACATTCGTGTCCGTTGGATGTATTTGCATTCTATCCCCCATCTTCCACCAATTCGATCGCATCGGCATCGGATCGCACCGGGAAAGATCGACGCCGTCCTTCCCGACTCAGTGACGACGTCATCGAGTTTCAGAAGGCCGGAAGCTGTGCGACCTCACGAGGCGCCGATCGCGCCGCGCATCGCCATCCCGGATGAAAAGCACCGTGCAGCACCTTCAATCAATGATGTAATGATGAGGAATAATTACTCTAACTTCTGAAGCAAGTGCAAGGATTACTTAAGAATATGCTCATTCTTAATAGTTAATCACATTATAGTATATTATATATAGTGTAAGGATTGGGTAAGGGCAGCCGATGCCTTTTCAGACGGCCAGCTCGCCACAGGCCCAGGGAAGTGGCGGTTGGACCACTCCCAGGACAGACGCTGTTCGCGAACGCGCGCCTTTGGAGCCTGCCAGGTGCAGAAGATGTAGAGGTCGTGGTTTTGTGTTGCGGGGATGTAGGTCATCCGGTTTCTGAAAATGGATCAGTTTCCAGGGCAGCTTCTTCCTATACCTGGCCATTCCCTTTGAATGGTATGGAGGTGTAGGGGTGATATTCTGGAACAGCATCTTCCAGTGATTCCACCAGCTCGCCTGAAACCCGTCGACGCGTAGCGTAGCCTCAAGCCGTCCGCCGCACGCGGACGCCGGGACTTCCATGGCGACCTATAGCCACCTGGGCAACGGCTATGCTCATCAGGTGACGTTTATTTTTTTTGGATCACATCACTCTAGTCAACCCATTTGGCGAGAGGAAGCGTATGAACTTTAGGTTGAACATGGCTCAACCAGTTTCAATGTTTCAGAGTTCAATGAAACAAATGCATCATGACGAATCCCAACAGAAGAATTGAATCCTTGAGCCCGGACCCGAGTTCTACACGGGCCGCCTTTCGGCCAGGCGCCGCTCCCCACGACGCAGCCGCCGGCCACGGCGCCTGCACACATGCTGGGGCCGGCAGGATCGCCTGGCTCGCGGCCCTTCAGTGTCACCTGAACAGCAGTGGGGCGTTGGATGTAAGACCAGACCTGGTAGGCTGGAACTGCCGAAGTCCAAAGCCTTCACAAACTGCATGCAATTGTATGTATTGTATAATGTTATATATTAGCATGCTACTAGACAGGCTTATAGCGCACTTCTTGGCTCATGATGTAGGGTCAGAGCGCTTTTGCTTGCTGCTTTAGTGTCACTTGCCAATCACTTGAGGCGAACCCCTCTTCACCCTATGGCTCCTGGGACCAGCTGCCTGCAGGCGAGTCGCGGTTGAAACTCATGGGATGGTTGGAGAAACTGTTCAGTTGGTGGTCCCCGCCGGCGGTCCCTTCTGTGCTTTGCCCACCCGGAGGCCCCGTCGATGAGGATGCCGACCCTGACTTCGAGGAGATGGCGCGGACCGGGCCTGGCGGTGGAACCAAAAGGTGAAAGTGAAGAGAAGCTGGCAACTGGCAAGCTACGTTTTCTTCTAGGAAGGGTTCCAGAAGATCCAGAAGTTGAACAGAATTTACGATGTCGAAATGTTCCAGCTTCCAAGCGTCTTCCCTCCGGTTTTGTGCTTTTCTTCATCTCTCTCGGGTCGCAAGACAAGCACTCCCATGATCTCCCATGCTTCGCTCGCCGCCAGGTGAGCGACCTGCGGCGGAGCTTCGTCGGCTGGCTGAAGAAGGCGGAGTTGGAGACCAAGCAGCATCGGAGTGAGTTGAGGCCGATCAAACCGGGAGGTGTGGGAGGCCGATGCTCCGAGTCCTTGGCACATGATAAGACGGCGATAGATCATGTAGTATGGGACGTAGTATGGGACGTATAATATGATTAATATTTCCAGGGGTCCCACAAACCATAAAGCACATGGTTTAGCAAAAAACATGGTGCATAGATGTGAAACCCATGGTTTTTCATGCTTTCAAGGGCCACTGGTATATACAGTCGTTGTTTTGCGAGAAGGATTTGATTGGTGAGTTCCGCCAGAGTTTTCTCACTCTGTCTATATACATGCAATTCTGGACTAGAATGTTGCGCTGTTGCCAATTTGAGTCGCTGAAAGGCATCTGATACTCCGAGCCATGGTGCTTTTTCCTTAGGTCACGGCTGCGGGCACCTACCCAGTCTATGTGAGGTAAGCACAAGACCAATGGAAAGATGGGAAAGGATTCACCAGTGCACCAGCAATCCAAAGATCCATCCACTTGGGTCTCCGCTTGGGGTAGATCGGATCTACCTGGCCCTAGGCATTTTGCGACGCTCGATCCCATCGGCACAGGCGGGGGCGTCAAGCCTTTGAGGAGGAGAAACTCTCGGTCTGGCAGCAGTTCATGGCTGAGAAGCAGCGGGAGGCCGATTTGGGAAGGAGCTAGCAGCTAGCAGCTAGCTAGCAGGACCTTGAGTTGACGGTTGGAACGCGAGTGGACCACGGTGATCTAAGTGACTCGGACCTTTCGAAGTGAGTGGAGCTTAACTGCACGGCGAAGCAGCTTCGCGAATCGATCAAAGCAGCGAAGGTGGAGAAGATCCGGGAGGATCGCCGCCACGCGGAGGAAGAGATGGCCACACATTTGAGGCGCAGTCGACTGCGGTGCATCCGCGCTTGCTTGCGCAGTGATTTAGAGCGTCTAGCTGGGTGATGTGGGTGCATAAACGTGGATGAGCAACCCGTGGGATGTATGAGGATCATGCAGGTGGATTTAGATTAATTCTAGTGTCGGAAAGCCATCCACTTTTCAGAACTGTGGCACCCCCCACCAAGAAAGCTTGTGTGCATAAAGAGTGCAGCTATGTGCAGCTTGAGGTTTCTGCCTACATCAGTCTATGCTATAGTCATAGTCTACTGTATCTACTTTGGATTTGGCCTCCAGGCAAGTGCAGACAGACATAGAAGAAGCTCGCTCGCGGATCAGCGAGGAGCGGCAGCGAGTGCCTTTGATTCCACCGACCGCGGGGGGTTCGGACCGACGACCTGGGACATGTGGATGGACGGACCGACGTTTGATGGTTTTTGGCTGGACACATGGAGTGGAGTCCCCAAAACATATGCAGTTTCCATTCACATGTGCAGATGTAAAGCGTGCTCAGTCATCACGGTGTATCATGCCGCCTTCTTGCCTGCGTGCATCAAATCAAGCAAGCGAAGGCCTGTGAGGCAGACCATGAAATCATGTTTGCAGCGTTTGGTGAGACATCTGCAAAGTTTAGGCATCCGTTTTGTTTTATGGACAGTTTTCTAGACCGGCTTGGACCCACAGCAGTCTGTAAAGCTTCGTACCCAACTAGCAGTCGCTTGCATCGAAACCTCTCGAGATCTCAAGCTACATAAGAACCCAAGGCTGCAGCAACAATTGAGAATACCACCTCTCAGGTTTTAATCTGTTTGAAGGTTCGGCGCTGCAATGGGCAACTCTGCAGTTGCGGTGAAGGGCATTGAAGCGCTATGCTGCAATTCTTTGGAGGGGGAAGGGCAGGAGGACATGATCAGTCCTGATTTAGCCCAGGCGCTCTTCATGCATGAAGTGCCAGTTCACGTGAACGCCACCATGGAAGAAGAGGTTGGGCAAGCAGTTGCCAGCCTGAAAGAGAGTAGACCCAGACGCGGCTTGGATGAGGAAGACCGAAGCCGGAGGCTACTACTCACCGCTGTTCAACATGATGATGCTCCTGTCGTTCTCCAATTCGTGGCAGATGGCGCGGCAGCGGCCGACATGGGCGAGGCCTTGCGCTTGGCCGCCGGCCGTGGCAGTGCTTCGGTGGTTCGGGAGTTGGTGGCTGTGGGCCTCTCTGTGAATGATGGATGCAGAGGTGCGGATTTCCGGAGTCTCCCAAAAGAGATAAAGAGCATTAAAGAGCCATCGCGTATGGCTCAGCTTAGCCTTCCCATGTGCTACTGTTGCGTGCTTTTGTTTCACGCGCTGAGGGAGATGCTTAATGTTAATTCCCGGCCCTGCATTCTGCCCCTAACAATCATCGATGGTTTTTCACAACTCACTTGGAGGTACCGGCTACACCCCACTTCACCTAGCTGCAGCGGGTGGCCACGTGGTAGTGTGCGAGCTGCTGCTGGATGCCTTAGCCGATGTGCACAAACAGGTGGATGGGATCACTGCATTGAGCCTTGCGCGGAAGATGGGGAATATGGAAGTGGAGGAAGTGATTGAGAGGCATGTGGCTTGGATGAGTGTGAATATGTGCGAATTCTTTTTTTGGTGTTGGTTTTCTTCCTCGGCTCCCCAAAAATTTGCAGTTTTCTCGTTTGAATCTGCTTTTTCCTCTTTTTTGGAAGGCATGGCGAGGAGTTGCTGTTTGTTGGCTTACAGTCCGGTGCGCAGTGGACCTGATACCCCACTAATTAACGCAGTCGGACGAAGTCGCGAGTTGTGATCTTACATCAAGACTTTGATGTACAATGTGCTGTTCCTGTGGACGGCGGTGCAAGTAGGCAGGTTCATCGAAATCCATTTCAAAAAACCAAAGCGATCAGAGGCGGACAGAAGCGGACCCAAGAGCTCGCTCCGCTCCGGCGTTCTCTCACCCGACCTCCACATCCTCGCTCCACCCGACCTCACCCGAGGTGGCGACTTTGCTGATGCACGACCAGGGCAATGTCGCCGATGAGGCGGCCCAGTACCGGCGCGCGCACGTGCTGCCACGGGTCTCGGCCATGCTCTCGGAGGCGGTGCTCCAAGCAGCGCCCTTCGAAGAGGCCCAAAAACCCGTGACTTGGCCAAATACACATGCATATAACTATATAACTAATACCAATTGGGTCCAGGTGTTTTTTTTGGCCTGTTGAAAGATGATGAAGAGCAGGTTGGACTCTGATGCGTTTTGGTCATCTTCTGTGCTTGCAGAAACGACAACACGGTTGTCATGATTTGGGGTCCTGCAATGCTTTTCTGAACGTTTTGAAATGTGCTGTTTGATGAAACTCCTTGGTAAACTGTTTGTTGCTGGTGCCCATATAAGCAGCAAGCACCCGGACACAATGCCGATACCCGACGTCGGACCAGGAGGAGTCGCAAGGAGCTGGCGTCGAGCAGCCCAACATCCCAGCACCACAGGATCCGCAACCACTGTGATGTGAAACCGGTGGAGATGGTGACATTTGGAAGAGCATCCAAGTGTTTCAACGGTTCGAGTTGGGATCAATCCAGAACAGTGGGCATCAAGAAGACGTTAAAACACTCTGAAGTGTTGGCGTGGATGCTCTTGTGCCAAGTGGTAGGATTCGGAATACAAGCGGTACGTTTTCTTTGGTTTTGCGGTTTTGTGTTCCTCAGGGTCCAACTGAAGTCACTCTTCAGTATATCAAAGGCAGAGCCACAGAGCTCAGCACGAGGTGTGCACAGGTTGGATCCACAGTACGGGCGTTTCACAGGTTGCATGTTGC